CCGGGTTCAAGCGAATCTCCCGCCTCAGTCTTCTGAATAGCTGGAATTATAGACCTGCACCACCACACCTGTTTAATTTTTGTATTTTTAATAGAGATGGGATTTTCACCATGTTGGTCAGGCTAGTGTCGAACTCCTGACCTCAGGTGATCCACCTGGCTTGGCCTCCCAAAGTGCTGGGATTACAGATATGAGCCACTGTGCCTGGCCTCATCATAGAAATTTTGAGGAGAACAATACTATTGTTAGGTTTTTTAGGAGGATACAATGTAGATCTTTTTTAAAGAAAAGAATTGGCTGCATAAGGTATACTAAAGTTAGGGTTAAGCTTAAAATAGACATATATGCGTTGATCAACATAGAATATATTAATATATAGGGAAATTAGAGGAGTTTAAAGTAGACTTAAAATGCAGTTGAATTAAGAATCATTATTTTCTATATATTATATATATGGGTCTGTATATGTATGTGTGTATATATATGCCAGGTGTGGTGTCGCATACCTGCAGTCCCAGATACTTGGAAGGCTGATTGAGAGGATCACTTGAGCCCAGGAGTTCAAAGCTGCAGTGAGCTATGATCACATCACTGCACTCCAGCCTGGAGAAAAGAGTGAGACTCTGTCCCCCGACCCCCCAAAAAGAGAGAGAGAGAGAGAGAGAGAGAGAGAGAGAAATTCGTTATTTTCAATGGCTTATAATTATTAATTTGTTTGCTGGATGTTTTCAGACATGACATGATGATGAGAGCAGCCAAAAGGAATTTTTTTTAACTCAGCATATGATTGTGAACAATGAAATGAAACATCCCAGAATAAATATAGTCGCTGTATTCTTAATTCACACTGGGGAAGCTTTTGGTTAATGATTTACATATCTTGAAGTTTATTCCCCAAAACAGCTTATAACAGAGGTCCAAAGGTACATGTAGGTGAATCAGAAGTAAATGATTCTACCTTATGGTATAAACGATCTGGTACATTTGAAAAAAATGGAGACACATTTTTTTCTTTTTTTTTTTTTTTATCGAGACAGAGTCTCACTCTGACCCCCAGGCTGGAGTGCAGGGGTGTGATCTCGGCCCATGGCAACCTTTGTCTCGCAGGTTCAAGTGATTCTTGTGCCTCAGCTTCCCAAGTGGCTGGGATTACAGGTGTGTGCCACCACACCTGGCTAATTTTGTATTTTTAGTAAAGACAGAATTTCGCCGTGTTGCCCAGGCTGGCCTTGAACTCCTGACCTCAGTTGATCTGCCCACCTCGGCCTCCCAAAGTGCTGAGATTACAGGTGTGAGCCACTGTGCCCTGCTGAAAATAGAGACACTTGATCATATTTTGAAAGTTGAGGAGCAAATACCTCCAAATATTCCTGTGGAGAGGCATTGTTTTTAACATTGGGAAAAATGAAACACAGTGTCTTGTAATCATCATGTATGTGCTTAAATATAAATACATTTTGAGTAAACATATACTGATAGTTTAAAATATATTAACTTATTCTCAAAGCATGAGTTCTACTTGTGATACGGGGTTTCTTTTAGCTATCTCTTGCTATATCATGAACACTTAGTAATTAGTGATTGCGTTATCTATTAACTAAAACTTAGTGTTCTAATTACATCTTCCTTGGTAAATGCATTGTAAGTTACAAGGTAGAGTTTGATGGGCGGAGTACTGAGTTGTGAACAGCAATGTCAGAGACTGTCTGCATGTTACCTAGTCATCTTTATAGCTTCTGCATGGTTCACACACACAGTTTAATTTGAAGACGGCAAGTAGTGAAGTTTAAAAAGTGGAAATATTGGAATACTGTGTTTCATTTTAGAATGTTTGCCTTAAACCTAAATATGAATTGTTTAGCAAAGCCCAAGAATTGTTTGCTTTTTTAAATATGAAAACTCAGAAGAAGGAAACATTAATTCAGTATTTCTAGATTGATCAAGGGTCTGGTTTTAAGACAATACTCATGTTTTTTAATGCTAGAATTTAAATTGGAAGGGCCATTATTTGATTCATTAAGCATTTTAGGATAACTCATGATGGCCAGTTGGGCAAATGATACAAAACTACTTTTTAAAATTTTCAGTTGTCTTTTGGCATCTAAACTCTGTTAGATTAATAGCCCAAGGAATAATCCCTAGTCTAAAAGGCTAAGGGATTATTTCCATTTATCGATCCCACTTTCTGACAAGTTCTGTCACTTCTTTTCATCCGCCAATGTGCAGAGACCTGCCCAATGTGCTCATCAACTGATGCTGATGTGACAAAAGTAGACAATATTATAGTGGTGGGTCTTACCTGATGCTGTGATTCCCCAAAATACCACACCATCTTCACAGTAACTGGCATTCTCTGAGTGCTTACTATGTGTTGGGAACTGGTCCAAGTACATTTCATACATGAGTATTTTCATCTCCATTTTACAAATTAGAAAACTGAGGCCTAGAAAAGTTAAGTAGCTTGCCTAAGACTATACAGCAGTGAAGTGAGTAGCTGGGATTTGAGCCAAAGCAGAAACCATTCTTAACCATTCCACTGTATTGGTGCAAACATAGTTGGACAGTGACTATCAAGTCTGCTTGTTACAACCCCTTCTTATTTGTTAAGGACGGTGAGATACCCAGATAAGTGAAAAAATAGGAATGAATGGTCTCTTTGGAAAAGGTACATTGATTAGGAAATAGCACATGCAGGGTTCTTGTTGTTTTTCAGGTATGCCTATTACTACAGTGGAATTGGTGCTGGAGTGCTGGTTGCTGCTTACATTCAGGTTTCATTTTGGTGCCTGGCAGCTGGAAGACAAATATACAAAATAAGAAAACAGTTTTTTCACGCTATAATGCAACAGGAGATGGGCTGGTTTGATGTGCATGATGTTGGGGAGCTTAACACCCGGCTTACAGAGTAAGTATTTAGTTTTATGTTGAACTTGGATGTGGTTCTTATTCTTAGTAAAATGAAATAGATGTCATCACATCTGTTAGGAGATGTTAGTGTACCACTCGAAGGTACTTATCAGTCAAAATTCCTTCTAAACAGCAACTGTGTCGTTGTGTATCCTTTTGTTCCTAGTACCTTGACAGGGCATGAGGGGACCTACATGACTAGCATTGAATGAAGGATTGAACTTTGCCAGAATGAAAAAATTATCTGAGAGTGTGCAGTAGAGCAAAACAAGATACTTTCTGGGGAAATTTCTGAGCAATTTGAAATTCCTGGGTTGAATACTTCTTGTGTATACCATGTCCATTTTCTGGGGCCATGTAGGCTATGGATTTTTGTTGTTAATGACAAACATCCTAATAGAAACTTATACCCTGCTAAATAAAACAAAGCATAGGCACAATACCCTGCTAAATAAATCAAATCACAAAAGGCCCTATACTCAAAACAGGCTTCAGGAAAAAAGTTGTTGTTTACAATTCTGACATTTATTTCTAATACTATCCTGTTCTTTTAGTGATATCTCCAAGATTAATGAAGGAATTGGTGACAAAATTGGAATGTTCTTTCAGTCAATAGCAACGTTTTTCACTGGGTTTATAGTAGGATTTACACGTGGTTGGAAGCTAACCCTTGTGATTTTGGCCATCAGTCCTGTTCTTGGACTGTCAGCTGCTATCTGGGCAAAGGTAGGTGAAGCCTGTGAATCCAGATTTTGAACTGCATCTTCTTCCTTCCTGCTCTCACCCTGTGGAAGGGTCTTTTTACTACATGATGACTTTGATTCTGTACTTGTTACTTTTGCATTTTCTGTTCAAAATCAGCTGGATAAGCATATCCAGTCTTACTGAGTACTACCCCTGCCAAGACTCCATGCTGCTCTTGGCCATGTGATTATTTGGGGAAGGGATGAGAAAGAAGGGAGTAGCTCTCATGTCTATCTTCTGCCTTTGTAAGAAACCAACCAACCAAACAAGCAAACAAAAACAAAACAAACAAAAAAAACCTTACTGAGTTCCAAAGAACCGTGCTCTCTACTGGATGATCCCCTATTCACACTGCAGGTAGAGACTCAAGTTCAGTGAACAACACGTGTCCCATTCAATTAACTTTTTTTTTTTA